ACACATATTTTGAACTTGTTTTATGAATCAGAGTAAGTCTTCGTTGTGCTTTGTTGCAATGAGCAGCATATATTTTTATTTTGTGATGATTTACGAACAAAGTTTACTGCCTAAGCTTCTTGCCATTTCCTGTCCTGAACTCAGTCAGATAGGTCATAATCCATGAATACAACAGAGATGGGCTCTGGGGCAGAGGGAAAATAGCCCTCCCATCTGCAATCACTTGCTCCTGCCATGGAGAGCACCTCCTCTCTTCCCTGTTAGGGATGCTTGTATCCAACTGTCACCTGTGCCACTGTTTGTGTCATCACTACCAATCTGAGCCCGGTCATACCCCAGCCACTGCTTGGGGTCCTGTGGTGCTGTGAAATATTGCAAGATGTGTGTGTGTGTGTGTGCGTGCGCGTGCACGTGCGTGCATAAGAATGCCAGGCCAATTGCCTCATGTGGGTGTTGCCTGAGCCCACTTGTGTAGTCACTGCTACTGAACCAAAACTGCGTGCAAACGCTGCCAACCTCTCCAGCTCCTCTGTCACATGCATACTTCAAGATGAAATGATTAAAAATTCCAGTGATAACAGCAGAGCATGAAACCAGGCATGGAGCCCTTTGAGTGTGGGACCCTGTGCATGGGTTCATGAGGCCAGTCCCAAGAAGGATGGAAAGAGTGAACATGAAGTGAATGAGATCATGCAGCCTAGGATAGTGGTGGGAATGTATGATGGTCTGAATGTTTGTATCCTCCCCAAATCCATATGCTTACATCTTAACCCTCAATGTGATAGTATTAGGAGTTGGGGCCTTTTGGGAAATGATTAAGTCATGAGGGTAGCACCCTCTTGAGTAAGATGAATGCCTTTCTAAAGGAGGCTTGAGAGAGCTTGTTTGTGCCATCTGCCATGTGAGGTCACAGCAGACGATTCCAACTATGGTGTCATACAAGCCCCCGTCTATGAACCAGAAAGCAAGATTTCTCCAGACACTGAATCTTCAGTTACTTTGTCTTAAACTTCCCAGGTTCCACAACTCTGAGAATACATTTCTCTTGCTTATGGGTTACCCCGTTTAAGATACAATTGTTATAGCAGATTGAATACACTAAGATGGAATGTCTGCTGTTTTTATTATTTATTATTTTTGGAAAGAACCTGAGGGAGGACTGAATTAAGCAGAGGTGCCCAGTTCAGACCCTTTATCCATTTCAGGTGGTGA